TCCAAAGGGAGCATTCTTAGCAAAGGCGGCTGCTCGAGGCTTTCAACATTGAGTCCTGATATTTGCCTGACTGAGGAGGAGGCGGGAGAAGCCTGAGAAGCTGGATGTAACAAAGTGCCCACTTCTCCCAATCACATGACTACAGGGACAAGTGTGTGTGGGGGTGGAAGGGCCAAGACTACTGTGGCATGCACAGGAGTCACAGCAGAGATGATGCCCATGGTGGGACGGGGATGCACAGAACCCCAGGCCATCAAAACTAAGCAGGATCACAGGCGGTCCACTTGACTGTTCCCCAGAGTGACCATCCCTAGTGGGTTTGGCCTGGGCTTCAGCATGCTGATGACATGGCCACTGTGGACATGGACAGAGACCCACATTGTGGGCACTGTGGCTGTCTGTGGCCACCATGCTTTCCACCTCTGCCACTACAGTAAGGCAGAGAAGCTCCTGAAGCCCTGACAGCTCAGACACCACCGAGAAAAAGGGCGGTGTCCTTTCCTCGTGGAATCTCAAAGGGTCAGGAAGATTCTTCAACTCAGGGGCCCAAATCCTTTTCCAGTGAAATGAGCATAATGAGGAACACACCCTTGCTAAGTAAGGAACTTGGACTGCTCTTCCCCGAAGCCTCCAGAGAAGAGGTTAAAAAAAAAAGGGAGGCAAGAGCAGACAGAGACCCTCCTAGGTCTTAGGGGCCCTGAGGGCTCACACCAGAGTCTGCTGAAGCAGTTTCTCCATGCTGGCTGGTGAGACGTCAAGAGAGGGGGTGATGAGACTGCTAGGGAGGTGTGAAATGCCCAACAGATAAGAGTGTGACAGTCACCAGCGGAAAGCACTCTGTAAATGAGAACACTGGGTAGCGCAGGTAAAGACCAATTCTGTTTACACAAAGGCCCATGGGGTGCTGCTCCGTGGGCGTGACTCATCCATACACGCTTACTGCCACTGGCTTTTCTGATTTCTCTCGGGACGAGTGATGGATAGGAACACTGAGTTGGACTCTGACCTGGCGCTCAGCATGTCAGAATCAAGAGGTTTCAGGACGCCCTAAAGAACACTCACCTTCTTCCATTCACTCCAGTCCATTTAGTGATCAATAGGGGCTTGGTGTCACCCAGGAGCCAAGGTGTAAAGGTGACTCAGACACTGGCTCTGCCTTCCTGGAGCTCACCACTCCAACACATCTAGCTGACCCTTGGTAGCTGCTAATGAATCCTCATATCCAGCCCTCTATTCCTATCACTCTACCCACTAATAATTGTTTTCCTGCCTTTCTTTTACTTTTCTTTTCTTTTTTTTTTTCTTTTTTTTTTTTTTTTTTTTTTTTTTTTTTTTTGGTACTGGAGATTGAACTAATGTCCTTGTGCCTGAAAGGCAGGCAGCAGCACCACTGAGCTAAATCTCCAGTCTTCCTGCCTTTCTTTTAGCTAGAAGTGCCAGGTGACAATTCTAGCCAGCAAGATGTATAGGGAAGTCTCAGAGGCTTCCTGACAAATTTTACTTCCCTAATGAGAGTGCAAATATCTGAATCCATTTCCTTCTTTTCTCTCCTTCAGTGTGGATGTGGATGTGATGCCTGGAGCTGTTGCATCTATTTTCTGATCATAAGACAACAAACATGAAGATTAAAAAGGCCATTAGGCAACAAGGATGGTAAACTAAAAAGACAGAGCTTTTGATACCAACAGTCCAACAGCCAAAGCAATGGCTACAACTCATCCACCACCACATGGTTTTTATTTTAATGTGAGAAAAATAATCTACAGTTTGAAAAGCTAAATTGAATTTAAAATTTTTAAATTATTAAAAAGTCAGTTCTTTGTAGCTAAAAGCAATTCTTATGGATGTACCTCTTTTCATAACGAATCCTGTGAGTTTCTCCTTTTTATCACCTTTGCGGTATGGCCATGAAGATTTAAATATATGATGATGGCTCCAGCACAGCCTTAGTGAATATCATTATTATCGTCCCAGAGAGGAGCCTGAAGCTGGGGAAAATGCATTGGCTTGTTCACCTGGCTTAGTAAGAAGCTGCTTCGGCAGAGGGTGTCAGAGGCTCCCACACACCCTCCTCACCACTCTCCTGGCAGCGGCCACACTCATGCTGGATGGTACAGAGTGCTTGGGAAGAAGCAGCACAGAATCACAGCCAAGGTGCAGCCCAGGTTGGGACCACCTGTGGGAGAGGGGTGGACCAGAGCCAGGCCCTAGGCCACGGGTGGGACTGCAGGGCTGCAGAAATGAGCACAAACGATAGGCAGGGATGTGCGCGTGCATCTTACAGTGGCTCACGGTGTTGTACATCAGTGTGATCTGGTTGGGTTGGGATCCACTGAGCTGGGAGGTGGGTCCCTGATGGCAAACCTGGGCCACTGGTCTAAGAAGGTCATCCCAGCGCTGCTTTCACACCCACGGAGACTTTAGCAGAAGCTAACTTATTTAACTCCTGACCAGGATGTCCAGTCAGAAGTGGGTAACTGGATTTCTGAGGAAACACAGAGGCAAATCCTAAGGTTCTGCAGTGATCGGCTTAGCTGAGGGCTACGGTTACCATCCTAACTTATGTCTGGCTCAAAATACAGGCTCACAGGAAAGATGGCATCTCCTGACTCCACCTCCTCAGGCTGAGTGGTGAGGCTGCCAGCTGCCTGGCCAGGCTGAGCTCAAATTGAGATCTGCAGCTTCAGGACACAGGGTCAGATATATGTGGGGTCCTGTGACCCTGCTGCTGCTCCGTGCACCACCCTCTGCCTGGGTGCTGACTCTCAGCAGGCCCAGAGCTGGCACGGACTCCAGCCCCTGAGGGTGAGCAATGATTGACTGTTCTTGTCATTGCTGGGCATCAGGGAGCAAACACAAGGAATTCCTAAACACAGTTCATGGTGCAGACAGTAGAGCAGTGGGCACAGCTGGCCTCATGGGTGCAGGATGATGTTGCCCAGAAATGGCATCATAAACCTTTAGTCTCTCCAGGAGATTCATGAGAAGGCCATGGGTCCTATCTGGGATTTGCCCCAGGACCAACACCTCAGGGAGGTTCTGTTGAGCCCACACAGTTCCCCTGCATTGCAAATCCAGCACACACAGCCTCAGGGCTTCTGCATGCACTTCAGCTATGACCAGGAGTCAACCGGTCCAGCCTGGAGATCCCATGGGGGGCACCTTGTAAAATGCTCACGGTATCCCACCAGCCTGTCTTAATCACGCTCTCTAGACTGGACCACTGTCCCTATCAAGACACAATCAACATGTCACAGTCAGGGTTTTGGCAGGCTCAGGCCAGGGCCCTCCCATCCCCACAACAGGCTGGACTTTCTATCTCTGCGTCCCAGGCTAGCCTCTGGGTACCTCCCTGTTAGGTCCCTGCTGTCTGCCTTATCAAGGGACCTGCCCTAAGGGACCTGTCAGTGTTGTCCAGAGACATTCCAGAGTCACAAGTTGGTAGGGAGAGGGTGTCACTGGCCCTTGGTGGCAAGAAATCAGAATGACTACATAGATGTTGAAGGAATCTGACTGCTGCCATCCTGACCAAAGTCCCCCCTAAACCCCCTCCTAAAATAGTGTACCTGATGATTCATAACATTATTGGCCCTGCTACTGATAAGAACCACTACTCTGAACGTTCTCAAGCTTCGTCCTTGGGCAATCATCCTTGGCAGGTAGCCACAATCCCTTTCATGGAACTCCCTGCCCTCCATGATGACCCTATAAAAGACCCCACAGCCTGTACAAGAGTGACTGGTCTGGTCCAAGTGCCAGAGTGGAACCTCCCTCTCAGGTTTGCTCTGAAATAAACCTGTTCTATTGAGCTCACACCTGTTTTTTTTCCCCCTTTCTTTCCTAACAGATGTGTCACTGAGAAGCCTGTAAATTAGAAGTTTTAAATACTCAGTTATATGCAACTGTCATTAAAGGTAACTGTGGGAAAATTTTATAAAGGTTATTTTGAAAATAAATCAGCAGGAGAGGATAATTGCATAAAAGATAAAACCAGTATTACATATAACTAATAATCAGAATAACACTAATAATTCATAACTATAAGTTTATGTGAACTACTCAGAATTATAAATGCATAAATATCGATTAACATTGTTTAATTACCCTTTCCCTAAGGTCACAAAGTTGTCACACATAAATGATGATATATATTATGAAATATTTCAAGGGAGTAGAATGGTACTTTTAATATTAGCCTTACTTTTAATAACTGAAGGATAATAAATTAATGCAAAATTTCCCTGAAATTAAAGCTGTTATGTGAAAGAAATTTAACAGGGTCTGAATATACTGTGGGGTTGGGCTAAGGCAGAGAAGAAAAATCTAACTATTTTCTCCAAAATGAAGTATTTCCTGACTTAATTTTTGCCTTCCTTTTTTAACTGTCTTGCATCTGTGAGGTTAGAGTTAAAAGAACAGTAATTAATTTGTTCCTTGCATTTGTTTGCATAATAACAAAACCTGGACCCTGTGCTCATGTGGGACTATGCCTGAACCACAGAAGACCTGACCCTGGACATCTTAGAGCCCCTCCCAAGATCTGCCAGGCCAAGTAGGCAAACCCTTCTATAAATAGTCAACAGAAGAGAAAGAAAAGGAATCGGGGCTTAGTTCATGCTAAGGTAAGCCTGGATTCTAATAGCTGTTGGGTTTCTTAATTTAAGAAATAGAAAAGTAGAAGTGGCTTTTCAATGGTTCTTTCCTTAGTTCATGAAGTCACAAAAGTTGACAGAAGTGATATCAGGAGAAGAAAGTGCCACCATTTTGTATGAAAACCAGTAACTTTTAGAAAACAGCTCACAATGCTTCGGTGTTGACTATGTGTTTAAGAAATCATGGCCAGGTGACCTGGGAGCTCAGACAGTATATGAAAGCATGTCCACCCCTGCCCAGGACCTTAGCCAGGCAAAGTTCAAGAGTTGAAGTGGAGCCACGGCAGCCCTGTCACATCCCGGGGTGGGAGCACATCCATGTCCCCCAGGGAGGGGTGTCATTCTTACCCAGTCGGTTGCAGGGGTTCCTCTTGAAGAGGGCTCTCAGCAAGCTCTGGGCCTCCATGCTAAGGAACTGTGGCATCCCCAGCTTGGCTCTGAAAAGCGAGCACACTCAGGTAAGCATGAGCCACTGAGGGAGGGGGGTTTCTTCACTTCTCTGAGGACTTCCTCATTCAGCACTAGCAGACCCCAGAATCACCAAGGGTTGCAGGGCCCAAATCTTGGCCTTAGATCTCTTTCGCACCTTAGAAGTTTTTGAAGACACAGAAGAGCTTTTGCTTATGTGGCTTGTAGCTAAGATATTTATTATATTAGAAAATGAGAGCACAAAGATTTGACATTTGTAATTTGATAATTCACTTAAAGATAATAAAAAGATCAAAATACCAATAATGATCCCATCAGCATCAACAACATTTTTAATGGAAATCAGCCATGGTTTCCAAAATCAAGGCAAAAAAGTCTTCAGCAGCCAGTGGCATCATATATGCTTATGTGAGTCTCTTCCTGGCTCTGGGGACAACTGCATTCTCACTTGCCTTGACACTAGGCTACTGCAATACTGTGAGGGACACCTGGGAAAGGAGGACTCTGCAGACCCAAGGAGGTTCACTCACCCCAAATAATGGGTTCCCTGGCCCATCTTGAGGACCCAAGCACAGACAGACCATGGTGTCTACTCCTCAGAGACCCCACCACTCCCTAGTGACTGGCATTAGTTTACCCCTGGGATTGCTGGATGGATTATTCTAGCTGTAAAAAGACTAAAGATTGTGCTCCCCTTTAAAATCCTAGTGAGTAGAGGTGGTCACCTCAAGAATCACAGTCATAGCCATAGGCACCCCACAATCAAAGCCACTTGCTAGAAGAGAAAATCAATGAAATGAAGGAGACAACACCTTGGATTTGCACACAGGCCCCAGCTCTGGGATTTCCTCCAACCATCTCTCACTGACTGTAAAGGAGGACAGAATTTACAAAAACTTAACTGGCAACATCTTAGGTGACTTTGATTTTACAAAAGCTACATGATCAATTGCAGCAGATTTCTTGCTGTGGTCACAAGGACAGCTTTACACGTTTTCCCATCAAGTGTCCCATCAAATTCCTTGCTCTACAGGAATAAACTGACAAGTGTCCCAGCCACATTGCTTCTTGCTCTTCTCTGATAACCAAGCTCAGCTCACATAGGGGATGTTGTGACCAGGTGGCTCTGAAGGCCCTACCCATTCACTTGCATGAGACACCGTTTCCTTGAGGCTCAAGGCTAGTGATGCCAACTTGCACTCTAGTGTGCCTGCCCCACTCACTTGAGGATGAGGGCCATTGTCTCCTTCCGGTCCTTCCCCTGGAATGGCAGGGATCCAGTGAGCATCTCGAACTGCAGAGCAACACAGAACAGGATGAGTTTGGTTCTTCCTCCCAAATCCCAGAGAAATGTATCTGCTGGCCTTTGCTGGGCATTATCACGAATGAACAATGGTCTTGGGAGTCCTCAAAGGCAAAAGTAAACTGTGTGGGACTGAGCACCCTCCTTCTTTGCTAGGGGTTGGGGCAGGACTCCACCATTAGGTGGAGGAGAAGGAGGAAGGTGGAGGCAGTGTTCCCGCAATTATAGAGCTGCTTAATACTGACAAACAATGTGGCACTGACATCTCCAAGATGCAGTTGGTGCACACTAGCCAAGAGGGAGCTGGAGGCAAAGAAGGACCAAGGGCAGCCTTTGCCAAACAGAAGTTACTGCTCCAGCTGCCCTTGGCAAAACCAGGGTTGATTCCATGAAGGCAGCAGCTGGAATCCCACGGTGTAAGAACCCACACATCTAATCCCTCTTGGTGCAAAAACCAGGGCAATCACAATAAGAAGTCCTTTTCACATACATAAAACCCTGAATGTAACAGTAATGTGCCAAGGCATCTGTCATGAGAAGGAAGCCTACTGCAGATTTTTACATGGTCCTATTGAATCTGCTCTAGTCTTGACATTTTAATTGCATATGTCTCTGTCCCTATGCAATGTACTCTTTACATTTTCCTTTGCATTATAAAAATAATTGGAAATGCATAAAAGTAGAGACCAAAACCATCACCTCACTCCCTTTAAAGATACCCACCATGAACGTTATCACCTTCTATACTTGATTCAAGCTGTTTTGCCTGTTTCATTGTATTTTTATTTTTAAAAAAATCATAGATAAGGCTTTGTATACTAATTTTTAAGAGCAATATAAACCTTTCTTACTAGAAAATCTGTGTAATATCATTTGATATGTGAGCATACCAGCACAAAACAGTGCACCTACTGCTGAACACTTAGGATGCTTCCAATTTCCCGCTAGTGTAAGAAGTATATCGATCCTAATGAGATAACTGATATTGTGAAACAGGAAGAAAAGGGCTAAAGGTGTAGGGAAGGTGGGATGGGTAGGGGAAGGGTAATAAGGGAAAAGAAAAAACTGTGTGAAAAAATGAAAAGATGGAAATAAAGTGTTTGTAAATGGGGAGGGGAGGACGGGGTGAAGGGAGGGCAGGGACAAGGGGAAAAAACAAGAACCAAGACCTGTCATGTAGAGGTACAAGATCCAGACAATGAATGTAACTACTGTATCCCTAAAATGTACGAATAATGGAAGTTTTCCTAAGATTTGGAGGTATCCATATAATAGGATACCAGGAATGAAACTGCAAGCTTCAAGAAACAATGCAGTTAAGACTTTATTAGTATTATTCATCTGATTTCTGAAAACAAAAATTTAAAATAGATTCCTGCCAGTTCAGGAGTTTGAAGCCCATTCCATCTTATGAAACCTGCTGTCCACACAGAGCTGCAGGATGCAAGTAATAATGAATGCATAAGTAAGAAAACAAGAAAGTCCAGATGAGAATTTAAAATAGGCAAAAGTAATTAACTGGAAAGGCTAGAATGCACCTACTTGCAGATGAGCTATTTATCTGATAAAATAGGACAAACATTTTTAAACTGATTATATAAATTATAATCTCTCTTACAATAGGGTCACATTAGCAAAGGGAAATTCCTTCCTCTTTTGATTCTTCTCTTTTTCTGCTCTCCCATTCTGTCTTTCCTGCAGTCTACTAATAGCATTCATAAAATCTCACCTCCAAGGAAGAGCCTCTGGCTACACAGAACAAGAGGGCTGTTTCTCCACACTTGCTGTTTAATCCTTGCTGCTCAAAGCTGCCCAGATTCTGACACCTGTATGTCATCAGCTGCTGGTTAATGCTGGACTAGTCTGCTCCATATGTGTTGATTACCATGATCCTTTCATGCTCAGGATCCCCTGAGCATCTTGTATTCCCTCCCCCTCCTCTTTCTCTGCCCATATGGTTCTTTGCTATGGGACTAGGCCACATGGGAGGACCCCACCTTCTATGAACCCTTAGGACACAGGCACAAGTGGGCACTCAGTAAGTATTCTCCATGATGAACAGGATATGAAGAAGGTGATAATGACAAGTTATTTTTGCAGCCTGCACAAGTCTTGGCACTTTGGCTTCATTTCTGGGCCCCTGGAGGGCCCCCACAGAAAGGGATCATTTCTGTACCATTGTTCTGTATAGAGCATCTGGGAACATTTTAGTCTAGAACTATGTTCATTAACTCAGGGTACAACTGATGAGCTTCCTGGGATATCATCTGTGGTGAGACTTTTACTCTGGTGTTGGATAACAAAGGTTTCCAGGGAGAACTGGTTAAAGTCATGGTTCATCCTGGGGCTCTACAATGGAGCACACGTTTGAGGGAACATTCCAAGTGATGCATGCACAAATCAGCACTAAGGTCAGGCTGTGGAAACCTACAGAGGGATTTTTACCAGACATAGGCCTAACTTCACTGGAATAGCTATAGTGCTTCTAGGACAAAGAGTAATTTGATATATCTCAAGTGGTGGTTCTCAGATTCCAGGGGTATTCCCAAAACTGGGAGACAGTTTATTTTCATGGTTGGAGATGTTGGTGATACATGCATCCAGTCTGGGAAAGCAAGGTCAGGGAGGCTGAGAAACACCCGACAATGAATAGGATGCCCTACAAGAACTTTTCAGTACCAAATCTCAACAGAGCTAGGGTGAAGTCTTGCCTCAAGGGACACCTGATGAACCCCCAGGCAACAGCCAGACTGGGGCTCAGGTGTGACCCACACAAGTTGCCCAGAGAGGGCGGGGGACAGCTGAATGAGAAGATTCTCTGGAAGAAAAACATGTGTGGTCCTTGAGAGCCTGAGATGCTAGTTCATTTGGTGGGTCAACATTCTTAAAAAGTAAGCAACAACAATTTAGGATTTTAATTGGAAAACTTTTAAGGACAACACCAACTGTGCCACGGGTGGATGGAGTTGGTGGCAGAGTTGTCCCTGCAGAATGGGGTGTGGTGGGGCAGTACCCAGCTGGCAGACTTGCATGTGTGGGTATATAGACAGGCCTGAGCACCTGGGAGAAGTCAATTGCCCTGATAATCATGGGTATCCACCACAGAGCTCTGCAGAACCTCTATGCTGTGGCGGAAAAGTTCAAAGCTTAGAAATGGAAAAGAACCTGACCAAATGGCAGCTATTCCTACAGTGATGGTGAATCCTGGTTCACTCTTCACTGGCTTGAAGATAATCTTGAGGAAGGCATTTAGGTGGAGACTTGTGGGCCACTGAAGACTTGCAAACTCGCTGCCTCTAATCCATAGGATTGCTTAGATCAGTGATGGCAAACCTCTTAAGAGTTTTCAGCGGTAACAAACAGCCCACTGCGGCACACATGCCGTAGGTTCACCACCGCTGTCTTAGATCCTCCATGATCCTAGACAGTGGCACTTCAGGAGCCAGGTAAACTGTGCTAGGCCACCTCAGCTCATACTTTCTCAACCCCAGACCAGGACACATTCCCTCAGGTGCTGCCTATGTGGCACCTCACAGACACACTGACTTCTAAAATAATCCCTTCATCAGGCTCAGGTAAGACAGAGTACTAAATGTCACAGAGGTCCATCTCTTAGTTGCAACTGAGATCTTGGAAAGAGTTTCTCACGTTGTCCAGGGAATCATTGAGAGCCTGGGACTGGCATGGTCCAGCTAAGTGCTGGCAGCGAGTCATCACCCGGGCCAGAAGGATGAGGTAGCAGGACACCACACGGATGCAGGCCAGCACAGGTGTTGTCAGGAAGCTCACCAATGCTCTGAGTCCATGTTTTCACATCTGTGTATGGGAGGAACACCACCTCCCCGCCTCACTTGGAGATCTTTTGTGAGGATCAAGATCAAATGATCAAATTGATCACAGATCAACCGTGAGGATGCCTATAAATTATCAAATGCTGTGTAGGCTGTAACATTCATGCCCATCTCATCTTCACAGGCAAGTGACAGTTCTGGAACCAATGTGGGTGTTCCTAGCTGTCATAGAACACCGAGTCAAATCATTTCAGCTCAAATGACAGGATTCTGACAAACACTAAGCAATTTGTTAAGGAGGGTCCTATGTTCATAAGGAACCCAGGTGACCACATTGGGGTTGGCATGATGCCACCAGCTGCCACAGTGAGAGTGCCTTTGGGGGCAGACGCCACTCCCAGGGTCAGCTTCTCAAGCTCTGAAGACCGAGGGGCCTGTGGTCTGGGTGGCACCTGTACTTTCACACTGTCCCTTGAAGAAGCCTGGGGGTGGTGGTGATGCGGCAGCTGAGTGCTGGGAGGTTTGCAGACACTGCTCACAATGGAAGGTGGGTGATGTGGAGCAGCCACACACCAGAAATGCTAACATGCGAAGATGGAGCCACAGAACCAATGGGGGAAACCAAGAAAGTCCCCAGAGATGGCTAAGTGGAGAAATGGCATGGGAGGGTGCCATGCTGGAGCCAACTCAAAGTCGGTCTTGTTCCCACCACCTTCCCTTTTGCATCCTTGCTGCCCTCCATGAGCACTGCCATGTACCTCCTTGATTTCCAATAATTTTAATCAGAAAAGTGCTGAAAGGTACAGTATATGTTATGGGATAGATCTCATGGCCACTTGTTCCTACAGAAGAAACAGATTAGAGGAATGTCCAGGGTCTCTGGAACTCAGACCAGTCTAGCTGGCTGTGCCTATGTCTGTTGTTTTCTCTGTTGACACTGCCTCATCAGGTTCAGGCCACCTCTTGCTCTCTGAGCTGTCACATACCCTGGAGATGAGGGGCAGCATTTCATGACTTTCATTCCTTGGGTAAAGGTTTATCTGAAGCACTGGCTAGGTAGACTACTCACAAACTCAGATTTACTTGCTCCATTAACTTCTTTAAGGACAGAAGATCGCCCAGAAAGGACACATGAAGACAGGGTCCAGAGACCAGAAGAAGCCCGGAGTCCTCGAGGGGAACCTGGACTTACAGCACAGTGGCCCTACACTCTAGGGGAACCTGGGTCTGAGGAGGGGTGGGGGAATCTCAGAGAGGCGCATCACCCCCACCTGCCAATTACTGTTGCTCAGGGACTCAAAGGAAACTATTAGGATGGAAGCAGAGCTATCTACCAAAAATCACCTTGAAGAAAGCAAAGATAACTAATGTCTCATTAACATATCTAAAGAAAGACACTTTGGATCAGATAAAAGCAAATGGAAAAGGCTTAGAGACACCTGTAGTCTTCAGGAACAAGATGAATTGTATCTTAGCTCTTTCCATTACAGGCCTGGATAATCATAAACAACAAACACCACCACCCTCCTGGCTAACATTCACTGAGCTTTTATGAAGTCACTCTGCACTTTGCATATATTAACATTCAGCCAAAGGACTCTGTTGTGACTCCACTTGACCAAGCTGGTTTTCATTAAGACTTAACTTTCCCCACAGTTGCCAACAGGGGGTAAGATGTGCTGTTTCTGTGGGCAGGAGACCCTCGTGTAATGTGCTCATCTTTTACTGTGACCTGAATCATCTCCCCAGCTGGTTTGATGGACACTGTGCCCCAGGGAGAGGTCAGCAGTCTGTGCCTCCACAGCCAGAATTTCTGAGACCTGGGTAGGACCAGCAGCTAGGGTAATCAGTGACCTCGAGGAGGGTCCCTAAGGCCTCAGACACCAGTATGGACTTCCTGGGATACACATCTGATTGGAGTCCTGTCATGATGGTGAAATAGAGATCACAGGTATGTGAAGGCAGCTGGGTTTGGATGCACATGTCCAAACATGGTGCTGGCTGGATGGCAGTCATTGCACTTACTAAAGCTTTTCTATCTTCTTTCCTGCTTAGGAAATGTCCAGCATGCCATGACTGGCTACCATTCGCGTCCAATTCCAGAATGGCAGAGAGTCTGGCCCACACAGAGGCCATGCTGGTCATGAGACACTGCCCTGTTTGGGCTGGAGGGGTGGGGGAAGTCATTACAATGAGCACATGTAGGGACAGAGACTGTTGGTAGAGTTCCTAGTTTCAACAGCATTTGATTATAAGCTCTATCTGAGAAGTATGTTTCTTTTTAAAGGTAGATGTAAAAATGTTTAATTTAATACATACTTTGTTTGGCTCATGCTAAATTTTATGACTAAGTTAAAGGATTTTATGTTTGAAATAAAAGAATCTTTCATGTGGAAATCACCACATCTCTTAGAAATCCTTGCTAAATCTGTACGAGTGTTAAGTATAAAGGTTTGATCTGTAATATATTTGTATTCTTATTGGAATCTCAGTTCCATTTTGTGATTTGGGGTGGAGGGGAGCTGGGATGGTCAGAGGAGGATGCTGCCAGGCCATGCTCTGAAGCTTGCTGTCTCTTCCTCATACCAGAGACCATGGTAGGCTTCCCTCTCCCTGGAAGTGTCCATGGCTTCTGGACCAACTTGAGTGTGACAGTCCACCTGGGGACAGCTACCCCTGCACAGAGGCCACCAAGGACAAGCCATTACCATCAGCACACCAAAGGACCACCAGTCGGCACTCTGAGTGTGTCCACGCCGATTCACCACCTCAGGCGCCATGTATTCTATGGTCCCACAGAACGAGTAGGCCCTCTTGTCATGGTCGATGGCCTCCTTGCTCAGGCCGAAATCTAAATGTAAGCAAAACACAAAGCACCTGCCTCAGACGCCATGATGGGTGAAAGGCCGCACCTCTGCAGATCTTGTTACTCCTGTCAGTGTTGCTAACTGGGCATAGAACCCTTCTTCCCTCGCTCCCTCCCTCTCAGTCAGGGCCAGCAGAGCTCTACTGAGGGTCACCACCAAGCCTGAGGGAGCACACAGTGTGACCACGTCCTGAGGCCAAAATCTACCAAGTGGGATAATTGTTTGTGAGTTTATAAGTTTTGGGGGGGCCTCAAAACAATACCAAGATGTTTACTGGTGGTGACATGAAGCCCCCAGAGATCCACGTCCACATATAAGCACCCCTTGGACCCCCACTGAAGGTTAGGGATGCAGGGTTGAGGCACATGGTGCTGCTCTGATGATACAAGAGGAAGGCAAAAGGAAGGATGGATGACTCGGGTGGGAGATTCCTAGCTGGCAAGGTTTGGGGGAGTGGGGAGCCTGTGCTGACTGTGAAGAAGAGACCAGGAGTAGGATGAGAGGGTGGAATGTGGATCCCAGAGATGGCCAGAGCCTACTCCCAGAACATGAGAATAGGTGATCTTACAGGGCACAAGGGACTTGCTGGTGTGGTTAAGGATCTGAAGGTGGGAGACCGTCCTGGACTATCTAGGTGGGCCCAACATCGTCGCAAGGGTCTTTGTGTGAAACAGAAGACAGAATTCAAGGACAGAAATTGGAAAAGGTGCTTTGCTGGTATTGAGGGTGGAGGACAGGTCCATGCCAAGTGATGCGGCAGCCTCTAATAGCTGGGAAAGCCAGGAAGAGGGTGTTCCTGAAGCTTTGGAGGGAATGTGGCCTGCTGTCATCTTGCACTCACTCCTGTGAGATTTGTGACCTCTGAAACTGTGAGATGATAAATTATTTGTGTTGTTTTAGGATACTAAATTTCTGGTGATTTGCTACAGTAGCCATAGGAAACTAATGCCAGTGGGCAGTGTATCATAAGATGGTGTTTTCAGTTTGGCTGAATTTGCTGGCAGCTATATGGTTTGCAAGCAAAAAGACCAGGTTGAGTGGCTTCCATGCAGGCTGGGGGATGTGGTCATAGACGGGGATATGGTAAAAGCCACAAAACTGCAGCAGTGCTCTCGGGTGGGACACACTACAGAGAGACCCTGACATCTACCTGGGGGTCAGCACTGGCTTGGGGTCACCCCCAGTGATGCCTAGCATGGGGGTTCAGACAGGGCATGGGGGTGGGGTGAGTCTAAATGCTCCCACTCTTCAAGGACATACAGCACAGCTAGCCCATGTCCTTGAAAATTCAGCCACATCAGAGATGAATGAATCGTTGGCAGATGTTTGTGGGACAAAGAGCTGTGGCTGTGAAGTAGTCTTCCACTTTATGAGGACTGAGATGAAGGCACAGAGGGAGACTACTGTCTCTTACAAACCTGTGATCTTGATGTGCCCTTCTTCGTCCAGCAGGATGCTGAAAGAAAGGGACAGAAAACACAGGCTTAAGAGAGTCCAGCTCTGCTTGCCCCATGTGCAGCACACAGAGTTGGGTCCTGGGCAGCTTGAGAATCCTGTGCCTGACACTGTGGAGCCTATTGGGTGTGAAGAGGGGTTCTCAGATAGCCACTTCCCTGTCCCATGTCTTCTGCCAGTCCAGGAGAGTAATCAAAGTATCTTGTTCTTGAGTTTGAATGCTGCAGGTTTGAGACCTCTGGTCCCCATAAAAGGGCTGGGACCCTCCAGCCTATTCTCTAGGAATAAGGGGAGGCCCTAAGATTAACCTGGCTCCATGAAGTACTTGGGAGATCTCCTTGCCGAAATCTCCTTCTCTCTCAGCTTCTCTCTGAAACCAGCCTGAGGACCAACCTTGGCCTCTGGCTGGATATGTGCCCAAACTTGGGCTTCAACAAGGAGGAGCTTTGGGGTTCCTCTAGCTTTATCTTGTGATGAGACCTGGTCCCAGTGAGACAACCCCCTTGGCTACTGGTCTTATTCCTGCTCAGCCTTGTCACACCACAGTGGAAAGCTGGCTTTGCTTTTTCCAGTGATTGTGTCTGGTAGCCCAACTCCTCGTTAGAGAACAGAGGTGAGTCTGTAAGGGTGAGGTGCAGGGGTACCTCTATCAGCCCTTCTCTTTTGGACCGCAGGCCGGGGCTGAGGCTGTGACACCTCCACACCCCAGGGTTCCCACCTTCCCTATCTATTTTTTGGGCTGTCATTAAATCTCCAGTGAAATCCTGGGAGGTACCAGCTCAGCCCTAAAGAGACAAAAAAGTGGGATGGAGAGAAAATAAAAGCACCACTGTGAGGAATGAGATATGGTTATTATTATTATTTTTTAAATCTGACAAGGAAGGAAACTCAACCACAGACTGCAGCCTAGATGACCTTGAGGACACTGTACTGAGAGAGGTCATCCAGGTACAGACAGAGAAATCCTGTGGGTGCCCTTGAGTCATCAAGTTCTCTGAGACAAAAGTAGGATGGGGTCATCAGGGTGGCTAGGGGAGGGGGACGTAGGGATGGAGTTTAACGGGAAGAGAGAGCTTCAGCTCTGCAGGAGGAGAAGTGCCCTGAGAGGGATGGTGAAGACGGGTGCACCGCACTGCAAATGTCCTCAACACCACCGCACCGTGTAGTTACTTGTGGCTAAAGTGGTAAATGTTATGTGTGTATCAACACAATTGTAAAACCTGCCGTGGGATTAAAGAACATATAGTATTTTATGGAAATGTGAAGAAGGGAAAGGCCACAGAATATTAATTAAGATGACAAGTTACAATTAAAGAGGCAAATGTTTTATCTTTGCTTTTTGGTTATTCGCAGTCTTTGCCCAGAAATCAAGCAGTTTTCAAGATTCATTCCCTAATGACTCTAATTGAACAACAAAACCTTTCACTTCACCCTTCAATTAAATATTACTATTTTTAGGTGTAAGGATCACTGCATTCTTTAAGAAAAAGCAAGGACCAGCGCTCCTTGCTTAATGGGTGCAGGGTGAGAGCGAGCTCCGTGCTCACGTGAGGCGGCAGGATGGATAACTATGAAGTCTGTGGGAAAGAGGATCGGCACTGTCAGCACAGGACTTCGTCCTGAAACTCTCAAGCCGGAGGACAATTCACAGGAGTCTGACCCCTGAAATGACCTTCATGAACAGTCAAATCCCTTTGAAAGGCCGTTTGGCTTTGGGTCCCAGTTTCTTGAGGGACACAGCTGTAGCTTGTAAGCTGCTGCTCTCTGGGGCGCCCAGCACAAGGCCCTTTATGGCTGTCTGCAAGTACACACAGGTGTAGTCAGAGACACTCTGCTGAGTGGGAGCAATGCAAGCCTGCTGTCATGTGTCATGCATATGGGCAGAGATGTTTCACAGATGTGACCTGTCATCCGGCAAACCCAGATGTTGCCTATAAATGACAGCCACATCTAACCAGCTGGCCTCAGAGAGACATTTGTCTTGATTTCAGCATGATGGAGGTGAAAGGAGGGATGAGGACCAGGGGCTGGCATCTCTTGATCCTGTGACTCCTTGGGGTTACAGCATAGACTGGCCTGTCCTGGTGTGTCCACGCTGGCTGGCCACACCAGCAGTCACCTTGTCTGGCCAAGTGTGAGCCCTGGTCTCCAGGTGGCACAGCTCAGCCTACGGGTACCTACAGGTACCTCACAGGTAGCACCTGAGAAATCAATGGCTTCACCTCAGGGACATAGTGCAGCTTGGTCAGCAGAACCTAAAACATGACCCACTAGGTCTCCTCTTCTCAGTGAGGCCCTCCCAGTTTACATCAGTACACAAAGAACACATAGGGAAAAAAAAAATCCTAAAGTGAGAACACTGTTACTTTGCAGGGATGTTAGTATTTTAATTTAAACTAGATTAGCAGACTATCCTAGAAATAATATATGAGAGATTAGGGTTTTGGTGGGTCTTGGCCTGGGGATTCCGAGGCCATTGTCTCTGGGGTGACTTGTCACTTATAAATGGATCAAAAAATCCACAAAGAAGAGGCAAGTTGACCACATTCCTTAGATTTGTTGAAGTAGCTAAAAAGTTCCCTAAATCTGGAGCCAGGAGATAAAAGGGAGCAAAGCACAGACAGCTGTCTTGTTTGGGGTGCTCCCTAGTGGCAGAGGTGACTTGCTTGAGAGGAAGTGGGAACCTGGAACCAGAGCCATGGGCTCCCCTCCAACCTACCTGGGGGACCACATGACAGCTATGTGAACCTGGGTCTTAATGAGGACTGGGTGGGAAAAGCCTTGGGCAAGAACCACAATACAACTGGGCACCTTTCTAAAGTGGGAAGGTGGCATCTCACCATAGTGGAATTCCAACATGGGCCTGTCCCCAGCCCACTGTCTGAAATGCATTTACTTAGGAAATAAATATTGGGCAGTGGCCACTAATGTGCACTGGAGAATATCCACAGCCAGGTGACAGGGTGATGGGGCTTGTCCACTTTCTCCTCACTTACTTCTCAGGCTTCAGATCTCGGTAGATGATCCCCAGGCCATGCAGGTGGTCCAGAGCCAGGGCCAGCTCTGCCAGGTAGAACTTGACATCCTCCTCGGTGAACATAACCTGCAGGGGAAAGAGGGACCTGCTGGTTAGCTCATCTCCCAGATGTTTGTTCTAAGGAACTCTGCAAGGACCCAGGACTCAGCCCAGGAAGGTGCACACAGTAAAAGTCCTGGGTCTGCAACATGGCTGCTCCAGCTTCTCTAATGGAAAGATGAGTTCTCACAGTTTCAAGGTCAGTGAGAAGCAGTCTCAGAGTCCTCAGACAAGGCTCCCTTTTTGACAACCTGTCTTTCTCACTCCCCAAATCAAGAAGCTGCAGAGTGTGTTTCTGGGTTTCTCTTCTAATATGAGTGCTTCTAATGCAAACTGATGACATCTCAGTGCAAATAACTAAGCCACACTAGGAAGGAGGGAAAAGCAGCATAGAATGTGGGTCTCACACCTCACCTTTCTCCCTTTGTTCTTAGGCCTTCACCCCTTTGGTTGATGCAAAGTAACCCTAATAAGCCACTGCCTTCCCAAAGGGATCAGCTCTACCAAAGGTAGGACACAGGTGGTGCTTTAAACTGGGGAGGCTCGCTGGAGAGGGGCTCATAGGTGTCAGGGCTCACATGGCTGGGACAGCTACATGCTTGGCAGAAACAAGGCTTTCATTGAAGGGACATTTCCAGTTGGGGCTGCAGGGTCCTGGACAGTGACTCTAATGCTTCCTGCCTATGGATTCTAGAATCCCTAATTTCATTTCCCATGGGCTATTAGCCCCTTTCCTGCCTGGCTATTTCTTCTCTAAACTGGTCAATTTATCTAGTGGGCTTGCTGACAGTCATAGTTGCCCTCTGTCAGATTGTCCCTCCGTGGACTCTGTACACCTCTGTGCTGACCCCACAGGTCCTATGTGCAGTTCATTACTCAGAGGGCCATTGCATTTTTGTACTTGTCCAGGTCTTAGTGTGGTCCCCAAGTAGAAAGACAAGCAATTTACCATGGATATGGGTACCTTGAAGACAGTCAGGGTACTCTGCATGTGGTAGGACACTGCCTATGGTACTGTTGACCAAGAGAATGCAGGGGAAGTGCTTTTCATGTTTCCACACTCCAAGAACTTGCTCGTCAATGTGAGGCAACCTCTGCTCTACAGTAAAGAGTCCCGCATGTCTCCCCAGTGAGGACTGACAGGGCCCTCTGCTAATTATTGTTGTCTTTGGCTAAGGAGCCTGACTGCAGAGCATTACACTAGATGATGGTTGAAAGCAGACCCCAGGGGCTGGTTTCCCTCAGAAGAGACAGGCAGGGAGCAAACTGATGGACACTGCACGAGAAAGTGGCAGGCGCCTGTCACTGGATGGGTTCCTGAGCCAAAGAACTTTGTCCAGAACATGGAACAGATTCTTCTCACCCACCGTTTTCCCCTGAATAAGCAGCCCATGTGCACAGTGTGCCATGGCCCCAGGGACACCTGATGGTGGAGAGACAGCGGCCCTTGGACCTAGGGACCCCTGCCTCCATCTACTATCCCTTTTGGGTTTATGTCAAACAGAGGGTTCCTGCTGAAACATGGGGAGGGCGGAGAGAGGGAGAGGGCAACTGACACACATGGTGACAGGGAGCTAAAACCACCACAAAGGACGGGCATCTGGAGCATGAGACACCAGTTCCCCATGCTACATAACAAGGTGCCGCCTTCTCGCTTCTCCACTGTGTATAAAATGGCATCACACAGAATCACTCAAGTGAAAGCCTGGTGTGAGTGCAGCTCTGGCCTCCTCCATCCCATGGCACCCAGCATTCCTCAAACCATAAGACACCTCAGCCTCTCTGGGCCACCCAGTGGTACCCTGGAAAGTCCCCAGCTGAGTTGCGGGAGGTCAAGGTCAACCCAGGCTTTGAAAGAGCTGACAGAGCTCAGCCTGGGCCAGTAGGCTGCCGGTTTCTGAAGCAATGTGTGTGCTTGGGCACTAACACGCATGCACTGTGCGCGCGCACACACACACACACACCAAATGACACACAAAACATCACACACAAACCCCACACACACCACACATATCACACATGTCCCACACCATGCACACCACACACAACTTACACCTAATACACACTACACACCACATACACATACTACATACAGCCCACACAACCCACATACTACATATGCCCCACACCACAAACCACACATTTCACACAGACACCACATGGACACAAAATATACATAAATCTCACATGTACACCATACTACACATACCACATACACGCCACACATCCCCCATACCATACATCTGTCTACATCACATCACACAGCACCACTCTCACATACCACGAACTCACCCTCACAGGCCATTTCCACTCAGGCCCCCCCAACTCCAGAACTGCAGGCAGAATCCCACAGTGGTGGCAGGTGGCTCACCTCTTTGGACAACCTGGTGAAGAGGTCCCCCCCACGCAGGAAGTCCAGGATCAGGTAGAGTTTTCCTTCTGTCTGAAAGGCTGCAGAAGGAGACACAAGTGAGTCCTTCACAATGCAAGGGGGTCCCTCTAAAAATCTCTTGGTGGTTCCAAGCTCAGTTTCTCTTTGGCTTATATAGGATCGGTGACTTGCAAGTTTTGACTTCAGAAGTGCAAGGGAGGCCAGGGAAGGACAGGGACAATAAGCTCTGTGTCTCACTTTCCTTGGAGTCTTGAAGTATTTTCTTCCTTTCTTCCTCCTTCCTTCCTCCTCCTCCTCTTTTAATCATAAAGGGATCCACAGAAAGAAAGGCATTTCTATGTCCAAACTTGTTCTCAGTGTCCCCACAGTTAATTAGCTTTGATTATAGCTGGATTTCTCTACGAAGATGACTTTTGCAGAATGGTAGCTAGTGAGTACTGGGTAGGTGTCCTGATAATGTTGAAGCAATGTCTCATTTATCTGCATCCTAACAACTCAAGAAGAGGAGACGACCCACCACTGGCCTTCTTCTCTGGCAGTGTTGGTGACTAGTCATCTGGGCTATTTCTGTGTCACAATGACAAGTTCATGTTTCCTGGTCTGGTCACCATGTGGGACAATGGGTTTACTGTCTATGGTTCAGGGCACAGGCAGCCCACACAGCTCTTCTGCATGATATAGTAAGGATAGGACTCTGTCCTGGAGACTGGGTTCAGACACACACGTGAGGACCGGGAGAAGTCAGGGACCCACTGTGTGACAGCTAGGTCACTATAAACAATCTGTTGGGTCTGTTACACAGTGTTAAGGCCTGTCATCTGCTACCTGTTTATAGACACAGGAATCAGGGCTGGAAAGGGTCCTGATACTCATGTACTCCAAAACTTCTAATTTTCTAAATGTAAATGCTGGGATCATTAATGCTGGGGTTTAGAACCATGGCCTCTAATTAAAAAACCCTTTACAGGAAATGTGTACCATAGAGTGTGGAGCACATGTCCACCTTGGGGCTTGATGGACAGTTATGACATTGTGGCCACTTACAGAGGTAATGCAAAAACTCTGTTTTAAAAGTATTTGTGCCAAATATGGTGGCTCATACTTGTAATCTCAGCTACTCAGGAGCCTAAGACAGGATAATTGCAAGTTTGAGCCTAAATTGGACAACTTAGCAAGATCTTATCTCAAAATAAAAAATAAAAAGTGCAAGGAATATAGTTCAGTGGTAGCATACCCGGGGGAATGATCTCCAGTACTACACACAAAAACAAAAATCTTTGTAAGACACCTGATTCTTAGTTCTTCAGGAAAATGCCTTGGGAACCACTTTAAATGGCAGGTAGGCCAGGAGCTGATCCTAGTAGATCAGCATCAGCTGGAGTGGTGTGGGAGCGGGAGCAAGCTGATCTCTGGAGGAGGCTGTAACCACAGCTGCCATAGATAAGGTAGAAGGGATGAGGGTCATTTGGTTCCTCCAAGCACACAGTGAAGCAGCTTCCTTGTCCTTTCCTGTACTTTACTCCTGTCAGTCTCTTGGGAAGTAAACTGCAGCATGGTGTGGCGGCTCCTTGATACTCACATCCCATTTTTTTTTTATTTGAAGATTTTACTTACTTCCTTTCAGATGGGATCAGAAGCACAGCCAACATAAGACAAGGCACATGCAGGGCCTTCACTAAACTACTTGCTCTGGCCCTCAAAAGATGGAAGTAATTACCTACCTGGAGGGGCAGTTAGAAGGTTTACTGAGCTTTGTTTCTAAAATGCTTGTCATATAGCAGTCAGTTAAAAGACAGTGTTGGCACCAGGGTTTAAAGAAATCAGTGGGTCACAAAACATTTTATTCTAAAACAACACAAAATATATCACCATTCACCCCAATCTAGGTCAGGAGATCTCTGTACTGATTACCAGAGGTGACAAATAGTTCTAATGGATAGGCCATTTCAGATTAGGTCTTGGGGAGGAAAACAGATCACTTTACTCTTTGAAGGAAAATGAACAGAAAAGAGATTAAGGATTGGGGACCAGCCAGGACAGGATCTGTGACACAGGGAGGATTTTCTTCTTCCTTATCTACTATTTTGTCCAGTTTCCTTTGACCTGGAGGAAGCTGCCTTGAGCCCCCTCTGAGTAGGTCCTATGTCACCGTGTCACTGTACTTACCATAATGGAGCTTAACAATGAAAGGATGATTCACTTCGGCCAGGATGTCTCTCTCCATTTTTGATCTGACTCGGTCCCGAACTGCAGGGCAGAAACAAAAGGTTTTCAATAGGTGAGAATTAAGAGTTCTGAGGAATACTGGATATAAAATAAGAGCTGAACTAATCTCCCCAACTCTGTATTAGAAACTTTTCTAATATATACAAACCCTGGAGTAGTACAATGATCACCTTGCATTCTCAACCTATTTTCAGTTACATTATGAAACATTTGCTTTCTCACTCTGTCCATCGCCCTCTCAACAGGAGGGGGAGGGGAAGGGAGTGCAAAAAGAATTGAGATGTATCTTGTACATGTACCAACTGCCCACAATGAATGTATTCATTATGCACTAATAAAAACATAGTAATAAAATCACATACTAATAAAACATTACAGAAACCATAGTATTTTATAGGATATCAAGTGCCTTTGCACATATCTCCTAGGAATAAGGACAATTCGTTACATAACAGCAACTTGGCATCACATCTAGGAAACTGTAGATCATTCCATGATATCATCTGACATCCTACCCACGGTAACCTCCTTAACTTGTGCCATTTACAGCTCTTATTTTTTCCATCCTATGATCTTGTCAAGGGTCACACATTATATGGGTTGGTAAATTGCTTTACTTGTAAGATTTAACTTTCACTGTCATTTTGACTTCGGGGAAGAGCTAGAAGTCACACGGCACAACTCATACGGAATAAGATGGATGAAGACACACAATAACGTTGTTATTTGGCAGAAACTGCCATAAACATTTTGAATCAATTCAGGTCAGGAGGCAGCTACAATAGTGCAATTTAAGACACTCACAAAAGAGCACTTCCAAAACTGCTTCAGAAAATGGCAAGAATGATGAAATAATTGTGTTTCAAGGAAGGGTGGAATTCTGAGGGGGATTAATAGCAAAGAGTCTTTTACCATAACACATTTTAAAATTTAAATATTCACTGTGTGTTTTGATCATATCGTGTATGTTTTCTTTTAATTTAGTGTGTTTTAACAAATTACAACATTATTCTTCTTGCTGCGCACACTGTTTTAAGTTCAGCCATCTGGGAATGCAGATGTAATTATTTCTGAGGCAAATGAGTAGACAACAGAAAGATAACTACCCGAGAAAAAGAACTACTCTGAGATTCCTCAAGCTAATTGATACACCCAGGCAGTATCCAAGTGGCTTCCTGCAGCCTCACGGGAATGAGGGTGGGAAATTTTTCATATGTTCTTATTATGGCAAATACGGCAAGTACCGACTGGATTGGGTATTGAAATTCACCCATATTTTACACTCACAATACGTACTCCTAAAGTTTTATTTAAGAAATCCTTCCTAACAGGTGGTATAATGACAGCAATAATAATAAAGCGAGATACTATCAGTGTTGGTGAGAATGTGGGGAAATTGGAAGCTTCACTGCAGGAAGGAATAGAAAATGGCACGGTCATCGTGGAAGACAGTTTGGGGATTCCTCAAAAGGGTAAACATAGAGTTGTACTATGACCCAGGAATTCCACTGCTAGGTATATAACCAAAGGATCTGAGAGCAGTGACCTGAACAGGGATGCCCGTGCACCTAGCAGTACTATTCATAGTAGTACAAGATGAAAGAAACCTAATGCATAAAAAAAACCGTGGGGCTCTGTGACATTTCAGTGTGCACGCTGGGGACACTGTGGTGAGCAGTTGCAGGAGCCTCAGTGGCTGCCCAGCCATTGCACTTGCCTCTGTGTCCCTTACTGTTCTAACTCCCTGAGACCAAAGTAGCCAGGCAGAGGTGGAAGGGAACCAAGGCACACACAAAGTAGGTCCTTCTTCCGCCTAAATGAATGAAGAGGAATTTCATTGCCTGATAGACCTTGAAGAACACAACACTCAAGTCAGCTACTCTACAGAAGAGGAAGAGGAAACCAAGGATCATTGTAGAACAAAGCTTTCGTGGGTACAGGTGCAGTGTGCGCCTGACCAGGATATGGTGCATTATCATCGCCGGAAATAACAGCAGCACAGAGGATGAGATGCTTGAGAGGCGAAGAGAGATGCAGTGAGCACAGGAGAGAAGGGTGGACAAGCAGGGTCAGGAGTGAACACTATGACCTGAGTGATGAGAGCAGACCTCTGTGTTCTGAAGTGAAGAGAGTCGCTGAGCACTTTTATTTCATAGTTTTATATTCATGGCTGTGACTCAATGTCTAGAATAATGACAAAGTTCTGAGCTTCTTTCCCTGACGGTGGTGGTCCTGTGTGAGCCGTCTGTCCAGAGGGCCACTGTACAGGGTTAGTCCTGACACCCTCTCATTGGTGAGTTAACATCGTAGTGATTTGGATTCTGAATTTCTGTCAACATAGTTCTGCTTTTCCATGCAGTTGAACTGGTAAAATGGGCCACAGGGTGGCAGATTTGGAGAAGTTGACAGTAGAGTGGAGGATGGGACATGGCTTCACAGTCATTTTGTAAAGCAGAAAGCTGAAAGTGGAGGCCACAGTTCTTGCCAATGACCTCAGATTCCTGCTGCCTCCCACCTTCTCCCTGCCCACCCCTTTCCCAGTGCCACTTCTCAGTCCCTCTGTACTGCACTTGGGGCAAAAAGCTGAGGAAGGGAGAGGCTAGTACTCCAAACTAACCCTCACTTTCGGCCAACCAGCAGTACGGAGGAAAAGGGTGGTGTGCTTGTTAGGTTGTCTGCTCAGCAACCTGTGCCTCTCATCAATAGGGTGCCTATCCCTGGGCTGAGACAGTTGGAACACTTTTCGTTTACCTGCTCTCAAGGGCTTGGTTTCCTTCCCAGGAAGAGGTAAGAAGTATTTTCGCTTTCCCTCTGGTGGGCAGGACAAGCAGACACACAACTAGGGCCAGTGGCCCGAAACTCTCTTCAGAGTTGGACCCTAATGCCTGAATCTGTCTGATTTAACAATTATCTCTCTCCATCAATATGCATCACATGTACATTACATCATATGTCATACTATGATGTGTCAACTCAGCAAGGCTAAGGGACGCCCAAAGATCTGGTAAACATTATTTTTTCTGAGTGTGTCTAGTTTTTTTTTTCAGTACTGGGGCTTGAACCCAGGACCTTTACATATCATCTTTGGCCCCTTCTACTCTGGTTCTTTTCTCCTTTCTGCTTCCTGGCTGCCATGAAGTAAGGAGCTTTCATCTTCCATGCCTTTCTGCCACGTAGTTTTTGCCTCACCACAGGCCTAAAAGCAATGGAGCCAGCCAACCATAGGCTGAAGCCATAAACCAAAATATACCCTTCCTTTTTTAAGCTCTTTAAGGTGTTTTGTCACAGAGACAGAAAGCTAACACAGGAAGAATTATTTTGTTTACTTTTTCTCTTACAAAATTCACTGGGAAAATAAATCCCTTGACTATTAAATATCCTAAGTGCAATTAGCCAAGATGTGGCTTCCTGAAGAGTAATTCAGTAAGTATGATTCCCAGGTGCATGGGAGGCCCCAGGTGGAGGATCACAGGATCAGCACAGGATTGGCTGTCTCCATCTCCAAACAACATGATTTTGAGTTGAGTTTTGCTGCTTTGTGCCTCAGTTTTCCCACTGGTAAAATAAAAAAAGAAGGGGCCCTTTAAAATTGCCTCATATTCCCCTCACAATCTGAAATTATTCAAATGGGAATCAAAAGAAATAAATGAGTGAGCATGAAAATACAATCTGTTTGAACTCAGGCAGCCACTGAAGCTTGATTTTGTAGTGAGTCAATGTCTTCTAACAAAGCAACTGGGCTAAGAAACAAGTACAGAGGTGCTAGAAATAACATTCCAGGGGATAGGACCAACTGGGCTAACTCTGACTGAGGACTGCTTCAAGATGCCATAATCAGCAGAACTGTCATCAATACATGTGTGCAAATGGGTCAGCACAGTCAGTCCCGCGTGAATGTGCAGAGCAAGGCAGTCAGTGGAGAGGGCAGAGAGAGACCAGAAAGGGCTTCGGCTGGCAGTGTGCTGCTCAGGTTCTTCCCTGCCCTCCCTTGCTGACATCCGTGCTGCCATGTGACCTGCCCCCCTCCTACTCAGCCACCAAGAAGCCCAGGTGAAAATACCACAGCTGCCGATCCATGATTTCACTCCCTTGAACAAATGTCTGGCCAGAAGGGCACTGTTTTCTTTCACACTGGACAGGACACAGCCTCCCTCCCTGTAAGAAGGGAATGCACGTCACCTCTGAGATGACAAAGCTGACTTGCAGGGAAGATGGTTGGATATTGAGGAGGCATAAAAACACAGGTAAATCCCATCAGGGGACATGAGTGCATCTGTGGTCTCTGCTCAGGTCCTGGTCCTTGTGACTACTTATCATATTCTTTAATCACACACAGACTCTTCTTAGCGTGACTATGGCTTAACCAAGACAGATTTTTTTCTAACAGATGGCAGTTCACATTCAGGCGCCCCCCCCCCCCCCCCCCCGTCTACTCAATCAAATCTAACAAAAGAAAGCCTCGTGTCTCCCAATGGGGCCTGAGGAGGTCCCACAAAGACTAGATGAGGACCTAAAATTGCCTCACAGTATAGGTCCATCAACTCTTGTCACAGAAAAGTACTCGAGAACATGTCAGTGTAAGGCACAGGCAGGTTTATTAGGCAGGGTTAAAAGGTAAGCAAAAATAGGGAAGAGACTTCAGGGTGAGAAGCTGAAGGAAGTCACAGCTGTGATGGAGAGGATCAACCTGGCTGTTAACAAATGAAGATCAGCTTTTCCACATTAGCTGGGTGAGAAGGAGGGGAAGGGTTAGGATCATTGTCTCAGTTTTTCTTTGGCAAGACAGCCCCCAGACAGTCTGATTGCTTGAGAGGGTAGTCTGGCCCCCGTGAGATAATAATATCCTATTCCTACCACCTATCAGGGAAGCTCCATGTTATACCCGCTAGAGACACTGGGGAGATTTAGGATTCTCTTGCTAAGCACAACTAATTTAGATCCTCCAGGAGTGGCCACAGGCTGCAGCAGTCTGCAATGGTCCTCAGGCAATTCAGGCTTGCAGCCAGGTAGAGAACAACCAT